CTGGGCTGGGACTGGTCCCGCCGGCGCACGGTAGCAGGAAACTCTCAGCACACTCACCGGACCTGGGCTAGGACTGGGTCTGGGGGCTCCCGGAACACGGCAGAAAATCCTCTTGAAGACCCTTTTTAAAAAAAAATTTTTTTTTTTTACTAATTTTTGGTCTGCAAACTTAATTCGTAAACCTTCCAGAAGAGAAGTTTAATGATATTACCCTATAACATAGGCAATTGAGCTGAACCTCAGTATCTGTCTGAATATCAAATATCTTAGATATAATATGGAATAGGTATTTTCTGTCAAGTATTGATATGTTAAACTTTAAATCCCTACTGAATGTGAAGAAAAAATTAATGAAAATAAAAATGTTTAAAAAAGAATAAACAATTACATATTTTTACACAAAAATTTAGAAGTCTAACCACATACAGTGCTGTAGCAGGACAGTACTATGACAATTTTTTTCTTGTCTCTTGTTTTCATTTATTATCCTTTTTTAAAACAAACATTTACTTGAGAAACAGTATAACAGTAATTGTTATGACATTAGAAGCAGTACATATTTAGAAGACAAGAATAACAGGCGTTCCAAGCATGGCCCTAGCATTACACATTGCTATTTTCAGTGAAGTTGCTTAGTTTACAGGTATCCACATATATAGTTAGTCAGGGTGAGAAACCTACCAATTAATTGTTAGTTTCAAAAACCTGCTGAAGAGTCTCATGATCATTGGTTTAACCATCTTGTGAATATAAATGTATGGTCTTGTTCCTGTCATGTTTCCTAGCTTTTCTCCTTGCCCTCTCTTCATTGTTTAATCCTTAAGTTCTTGCTTTCCTTTTAATTGTGCTATACCTTTCTATTTTTATTTCTTTTGTATTCTTCCACTAGGGGAACTATACATTATTTATACATGTGGGTCTGGTTTATTTCACTTATGAGTATATTATCAAGTAGCATCAACTTGTATATGAAGGCTAACGAGTTTATCATTCTTTATGGCTGAATAATACTCCATTGTATAAAAATACCACATCTTTTTCATCCAATCCTCAGTTGACTGGCATTTTGGTTGCTTTTCAAGATTTGGCTATCAGAAATTGTGCTGCTGTAAACATAGGTGCACATATATCACTTTGATATGATGTTTTCAGTTCTTCTGGGAAATTTCCTAGTAGGGGGATAGCTGGCTTGAATGGGATTTCCTGTCCTAGTTTTTTAAAGAGTCTCCATGCTGATTTCCATAATGGTTGCAGCAATCTACATCTTTTTTCATCACAGGCTTTCCAACATTTGTTGTTGGTTCATTTCTTTATGATAACCATTCTTTCTGAGGTGAGATGGTATCTCAGTGTTGTTTCAATTTGCATTTCACGAATGGCTTGTGGAGCATTTTTTCATGTATTTATTTGCCTCTTGTATTTCTTCCATTGAGAAGTGTGTTTTAATCTTGGATGCTTATTTTTGGATTAGATCTTTAAATTTTGGGGCCCTAACATTTTTTAGTTCTTTATAAATTCTAGAGAGAAGGCCTCTTTCTGAGTGCTTATTAGTTAAGATTTTTTCCAAATTTTTGGGCTGTCTTTTCACTTTGTTGGTAATTTCTTTTGACGTGCAAGTATTTCTCAATAAGAGGAGGTCCCAGTTGTCAATTCATTCAAGTATTACCCATGCGATTTGATTTTTGTTCATGAACTGTTTGCCTACCCCTATGTCTTCAAGAGTTCCTCCTAATTTCTCTTCCAGGAGATTTAGTGTTTCTGTTTTAATGTTTATATCTTTAGTCCATTTTGACTTTAGTTTAGAGCATGGTGATAGACCCGGGTCAAGTTTTGATTTTTGGCATGTAGAGAGCCAGTTTTTCCTGCACCAATTCTTAAAGAGGTTATCTTTCTTCCAGTGAGCATGTTTCTCTCCTTTGTCAAAGATAAGGTGGCTCTATGTGTTCATAGAGGCTTCTGCATGTTCTAATCTATTCCGTTGATCCTCAGGTCTATTTTGTTGCCAATACCATGCTGATTCTATCACAATGGCTTTGTAGAATAATTTCAAGTCAGGAATTGTCATGCCTGCTGCCTTCTCTTTGTTGCCCAGGATTGCCTTTGCTATTTTAGGTCTTTTCTGGTTCCAAATAAATTTTAGGAATAATTTCTCTAGGTCTGTGTGGTATGTTGGTGATATTTTTGTAGGGATTGAATTAGATGTGTATAAAAGTTTTGGGAGTATGGTCATCTTCACAATGTTTTTCCTTCCTATCCAAAAGCAGCAAATATCTTTACATTTTCTGAAATCCTCTATGATCTCTTTTTTTCAGAGTACTGTAATTTTCATTGAATAGACCTTTGACTTTTTTAGTTAGATTAATTGCTATTTCATTTTCATGCTCCTATTGTAAAAGGTATTGTTTCTCTAACTTCCTTCTCAGTGTTTTTGTTATTTGTGTAGAAGAATGCTATTGGCTTTTGGCTGTTGACTTTGCATCCTGCTATGCTACTGCATTTCCTTATTAATTTTAAGAGCTTCTCAGTGCAGGTTTTTTTTACATGTTCGAAGTAGAATATCATGTCATCTGGAAATAATGATATTTTAACTTCTTTACCTATTATTAGTTTTATTTCTCTCTTGTTTGTCTAATGGCCCCAGCTAAAGAATACATAACTATGTTGAATAGGAGTGGTGGTTGATACAGGATATCCTTGTCTTGTACCTGATCTGAGAGCAAAAGATTTTAGTTTTTCCCCATTTAGAATTATGTTGGCTGTTGGATTGCCCTAGATGTCTTTCATCATGTTGAGGTAGAACCATATATTCCAATTTTCTGTAGAGCCTTTCCCATGCATGAGTGTTGGACTTAGTCAAAGACCTTTTCTGCATCAATTGTGATGATCATGTGGTTTTCAGATTTGGCTCTACTGATATGGTGTATTGCATTTATAGATTTGCATATGTTAAACCATCCTTGCATCCCTGGGATGAATCCTACCTGTTTTATTTTGTAATCTTCTTGATGGTTTGCTGCATTCTATTTCATAGTATTTTATTCAGGATTTTTCCATCTATGTTCATGAGGGAGACTGATCTGTAGTTCTCTTTTTTAGCTGAATTTTCTCTGGCTTTGGTATCAGTATGATACTTAATATAACTGTATGGCTTGTCACTGGCATGTTTCCTAGATCTTCTCCTTTCTTTCTCTTAATTAGTTAGTCCTCGAGTTCCTCCTTTCCTTTTACTTGTATTATACCTTTCTATTTGTATTTCTTCTTCTGAGTTCTTATACTAGGGAAATTATACGATATTTACACATGCGTGTCTGGATTATTTCACTTATGAGTATATCTTCAAGTGGCATCGAATTGAATATAAAGGCTTCGAGTTTATCATTCTTTTTTTTAACATTTATTTATTTATTTATTTATTTATTGTGTGTGTGTGTGTGGCCAGCTCAGCCCACCAGGGGGCGGGGCTGGCTGGCATGTGGTGCTGGGGGATCGAACGGCGGTCCCTCTGCTTTGCCAAGCTTGTTCCAAGTAGGTGCTTTAGACCACTGAGCCATCTCACCAGCCGAGTTTATCATTCTTTATAGCTGAGTAATACTCCATTGTATAAAAATACCACATCTTTTTCAACCATGTATCAGGTGATGGGCATCTTGGTTGTTTCCAAGATTTGACTATCACAAATTATGCTGCTATAAACATAGGCACACATATATCCCTATGATATGATGTTTTCAGATCCTCCGGGATCTGGTTGACCTATCTTTTATGGATAAGGGAGTGTTAAGGTCTCCTGTTAAGATTGTGGTATTGGATATTAGATTTTGCATGCCCGATTTACTTCATATAGTTGGGTGCTCCCGTGTTTGGTGCATACATATTTATGAGTGTTACGTCTTCCTCTTGAATTTTCCCCTATCCAGTATATAGTAGCCTTATTTATTTTGCTTGATTATTCTTGGTTTGAAGTTGAGACTGTCTGAGAACAGGATTGCTACCCCTGCTTTTTCCTGAGTTGCTGGGGCATGTAATATTCTTTTCCATCCTTTGACTTTCAGCCTATTAATGTCTTTTTGAGTTAAATGTGTTTCTTGTATACAGCATATTTTTGGATTTTGTTTCTTAATCTATTGCTCTTATTTGGTGCACTGATTCCATTTACATTGATGGTTAGAATTGAGATGTATTGACTTTCAATTGACATGTTATTTACCTGTTGTTTTTTACTCCTTTTTCTCCTGTGTTTAATTGCTTCACCTACTTATTAGGTTGCTTTGATCTCATTCATGGAGTTCTGATCATTTTGATCCCTCTCTAGAACACCTTTCAGGAGCCTGTGTAGGGTTGGATTTGTCATCATGGAATTTTTAGTTGTTCTTTGTCATGGAAATATTTCACTTCTCAATCAAACTTGAAAGAGAATTTTGCAGGGTATAGTAGTCTGGGCTGGAATTTGTTTTCATAGAGGACCTGAAGTACTCTGCTCCATGCTTTTCTTGCCTGCATGGTTTGTGAAGAGAACTCAGCCGTAATTTTGAGGGGTTTTCCTTTGAATGTGATCTGCTTCTTTTCTCTAGCGGCTTTCAGTAGATTACTCTTGTGCTGAATTTCTGGGATCTAGACTATTATATGTCTCGGTGTGTTTTTCATTGG